TGGTCAACACCCGTAGACACGGACCATGCTCTGCTACGAACGAGATTCTCACTACGCCTGATAACCAACCGCAGAAAAGCCGCCGAAAACAGATGCTCACAATACAGTATTACCGACAGTTGAAAATCGGCCTTGGAGGCGGAACTATCAGATCGCCTCTCAACTGAACCATCAGCCGGAGGACTCAGTGAACACTGGTTGACAATCAAGGAGGCGATCCAAATTTCAATCAACACAACGGCGAACTCTGGCGCACGATCAAAGCAAAACGATGGGTCTCCTCAACCTCGGTTGCTTTGATGGACACTCCCAAAGCCATTNCCATTTCCTCGGATTCAACATACGACAAAGAGCGCAAATCCCTTAAATGCCAGCTCACCAAGAGTCTGAGGAATGACCGCGAGAAATGGTGGGTAGAGAACTGTAGAGCGATGGAGAAAGCTGCTGTTATTGGTAAGAGTAGCAATCTTTTTCATTTAATTAGGAGTACAGGACCAAGGAAAGCAGGCGTAAGTGAAGTAATTAAGGAGTCTGACGGCACTGATTCTAATTCAGGAACGTCGTCTTGAACGTTGGGCTGAACATTTTAAGGCACAGTTCAGCTGGTCCCCTTCGACACAAGACTTCCTCACCATGCGATCCAACTGTGCAAATACTGCCAGTTGACATCAGTCCTCCATCTGAAATGGAGGTTACCCGTGAAATAAGTTACCTCAAACGGCATAAGGCTTCCGACCCCGACGGGCTGTCCCCATCCGTTTTTAGGAATGGAGGCTCAGCCTTGGTTTTGGAGTTGAAAAAACTCGTCCACTAGAGCAAGTGATCAACCTCCATAGATTACGCTGGTTGGGACATTTAGTACGTATGTCGCCAGGTAGGTTGCCGCGGCGAACGGTGTTTGCCAAGGCTGGTAACGATTGGAAAAAGATAAAGGGTGGTCAAACTAAGACATGGCATGAGGGTATGAAAACCCTAACCAGGAGACTAGGTCACAGGCCCCGTTAGGCTCCCAGGCTGGGGACCTCGGGATGATGGTCACCGATGGTTAGCTACACTGAGTGATATGGCTGGTTGTCGCAAACAGTGGCGCTCGTGCATCCACTCGTTATTCTCCTAACAACACTATATGAATTCCCCACCTTCCGCTTGAATTTGCTTCGACATTCGAATCTAAATTTGCACTTTTATCCAAATGGGCAACCAAAAGGCAGCAATCAAAACCGGCGCACGAAAGTGCATGGTTAATGGTTGTAAAAACTGAAAACTGAAACTTTTGTTTGTTGGGTACTTTCCTAAACCTGTTTTTGGCTTCTCTTTTGAAATGCATTTCCAATGTTTGGTCAAATAAAGCATAGCCAATGGGACTTGGTTGTCTGCGTTTGTTAGATTCTATATTCACCTTGATCGCAAACTTGTTCTGTCTCTGCGGTCGCCTCATGGCTTCATTGGGCGAGGTCACTTGTGTTTTAGGACTCGGAGAAGCAGTTCTTGGGGAAGAACGCGTTTCCAGTTCATTATGATCCACACATTAAAATGTGGTTGCTTAAATGTTTCGCTATTAGGATATGGATATTCCAGAAATAAGTACGGTCTGTCCTCATTTTTTTTTATAATCACTTGGATTGATGTTTGATCAAATGTTTTCCAGAAAAGCAGCGACATTGCTGACTTATATTGTTTACCACTTCTGGAAGTACAATTGGCCCCATCAGGGGAAATTACTGGAAAGGAAGTACATCGGTTATTCGAGCAGTCGTGTCCTCAGTGAGAGGCCTTCGCCTATCTGCTTTAGTGCGTTTGTGTGAAGATTGAAACGAGAATCCACACATGTATTTCATTTGCGTTGCACATAACCAGTTGACTTTTGTTTTCAATGGCCTGTGTATGCCTGCCACTTCTATCGAAATAAACATCTTCCATTGTCGGTAATTCTTGGTTTTTGATAACTTTTTGAAAGGTTTGCTTTTTCTATTCTCTCTGTTTCACAGCAAATTATACAAACTGATATTGACCAAAAACTATGAGGAACTTCGCAGTGGCAGTCTCATGAATAGTCTAGTACATCTGCAGAAAGTGTGTGATCATCCTTATTTGCTACCTGCTGGTGATAGCATTGCACCTCGGTTGCGCGCGAATGAGCCGGATTCACCGTACGAACCCGGTGCACTGATTCAGGTCAGTGGCAAACTAAGCGTACTGGTCGATATGTTAAAAGGGTTACATTCACGTGGTCATCGTGTGCTTCTCTACTCCCGACTCACCACAATGCTGGATATTCTCGAAGAGGTAATTTTGAATATCGGGTAAGTGGATCCTTGTCCTGGTTCGGTTATGTCCGGGGGTGACGGGGGGGGGATGACTTTCATTTTTCTCGTATCTCACTTCACTTCGTGATCTGTTTACTTATCGAGATTTACTCAGATGTTCTGCGTGATATTTTTAAAGAATGAATGACTTGATGCAACCGACGATGTCCTGCTCTCATCGCATTTATCTGTCTTTCTATCTTTGATTGTGTTCTTTCTCATGCACAAGAAGAACTACGGAACCTCCGATTGTTTTATAAAAAACGATAGTTTTTGGATTATGCATTTGACGTTTATAGGTATCCAGGATGTCTGGTTTGCGTCACACATCTGAGCGGTTAAACTCGTTTCTCTTGGGGCAGCACCTTCGATCCCTTCAGTTACGCCACTCTCACTTGAGATTTTAGGACGTCTAGGCACGAATCAGCTGCCTTACCCTGGGAAATTATTTACCAGGCGCGCTTGACTGGTTTAAGGGTAACGGAAGACAAAACTCTCGCCGAGGTTGTATACATCAAGCCAGAACTACTTGTTCTTAGTGCGATGACGAAATTCGCCGCCTGATCCAGCAGCTATAGAGAAAACCTGCCCAGAAAATACGACTGAATGGACCAACACGGTTAATTAGCAGTTTACACACAATGTTTCTTTTTTGAAATGCCAGCCGTTGATCAAAAACTGATCCGTTCTGGTGGGGGAGGAGCCGATAGTATGACTTTTCCGATTTTAAAGCAACAGGTAGTCTCTGCCTGTGATGGATGAGATAAACCTTTGTAGTTTTGATTGTGAGCTGTTAGATGTATAAGGTAAATGAGCAGGCTCATATATTGTTTCATATATTTTAGCATCATTACGTGACCGTAATTAACGAGGCTAGGCTTTTTTACCGTTTGTCGTTTCCTATTACAATGTAAGGATTAAGGATTTAATCGAATGAGTTAATCTTCACCCGGCAGATTTTACCTCTTAGTCTCCATATCGTGGTTTTGCACAGAATAGTTTGATCGTTAAGACCAAGCAAAGAAACAGTTTGGCCACAATCCTTTGCACATAAATAATCGCATGATGAATAAAGCATTGAACTCGTTCACTGCTTTGGTTTGTTCTCGAAATGTGTGATCAGTCTGCTTCCTGTTCTGTTTCTTAGCTGTATCGGCTTCATTGTTGAAGCCAGAATTTCATTCTTTCCTCATATGTATGCCAGTCAATCAGCTGGTGTCCTTTTCTCTTATATGTGTTACATGACGGTAAGTCTCGCCCCATCGGATTTATCGACTACGAGTCTTTAGATATATGCTTCTCTAGGTCGCGAATAGGAGAACGGCTCTGCAACTGATCAACCGTAGATAGATGATTGTTGCTTCACTTGATAAACAACGTGGTAGATTTTCGCCTGGCAAGCCATCTGTCAGTAATCCAATCCTATATAGGCTCGTTAAAGGTATCGTGATTTACTGTAATCTGTCTCTCCACTAAATGAAACCGTCGGTATCAGAATTTTCCTCACAGATAGCACTTCACGGCACGAGGTCTTTAGCCTTATTTTAAGCGGAAAATAATGAGCTAACCCTTTGAAACAACTTCCATCCTAAATTCATCCATGAATCGCTTAAACTCGAAGTACGATGAATTTATACTTGTTCTCTCTCAATGCTTTCGATTAGTAGAACTTTCTATTGTTGTACATCAAATAAAATAGAAACACAACCACCATGTACAACCCCACTTTCGTAAACCGAACTTATGGAGCGATTGTTGTGCCCCATATGGGGCTTACCGAAATCCCATTAGGTGCAAATTGTTTTCTTGTTGCAACGTATATCAACTCACTGTGGTCATCTGATCATTCCATTGAGCCTTTCGCGATTGAGAATTAACTTACGCCTTTCATATTGTTCATAATACCCGACAATGCACTAAGGTACCAGTCATCATATATCAATTTTTCCTCTTCCTTAGCTATGTTTATGAGCGATTTGACGGAAGCGTAAAGGGTCCGATTCGGCAGATAGCTATTGATCGTTTCAATGCTCCTAATTCCAAAGCGTTCATATTCCTGTTGTCCACTCGAGCCGGAGGTGAAGGAATTAATTTGGCATCTGCAGATACCGTAAGTCGACATTCCCCCTAATTGAGTTGCATTTGTCCGCTGTTTCGACCTTTCGAAGTTCAGTTTTGCGAGCAATCGGTCTTAATACAGCACAATAATGTGTACTTCAGGCACGTTTCTTACTGTCGTTTCCTGGAGGTATTTTGGCAATTAAAGCTCATCCACTCTGTACGATCTTCGCTCTCCTTTTCATGGCTCCTCACTTAATATGTATTATATATATATATATATATATATATATATATATATATGTTATTACCAATATCATTTGTCATACACGATGACTGAGCTGCTAGGCATGTATGCAAACAAATTGTCAAGCTCGGCGAAAAGACCAAATAGAATTCAGTTCACCTAAGCTACGCGAACCAATTTTCAATACTTTGTCAACAGTCGAGTGCTGTTCATCTCAATCTCCTTGAATACAATGTGGATTGGCACTAGTGTTCGTACAACTAACAACTAATCGGCTGACGAGTCCTCAAGGTGCCTAACATACTTTAATGTTCCGTTTCTTACTGATTGGCCTTTAACAAACGCCGTGTTCTTTTCTTGCTGGCTTATCAGTGAAGAACAAAGCCACTGCATATGTTTGCTACTCCCTAAAATGCCTTGCTTGGTGAGTGTTCTGGTCCCTTTCGACCAAACACAACTCGGTACCACTCTGAAGAGTCGGTGACTAAGAGTGACTGTGTTTGTCTGCCGTAGCCTAAAAAAACGGGTCTGTTTAGCGAAAGTATATTAGTACAATCGTTGTTCTATCTGACATATGTCTCTGGTGTGTCAGTTTGGTCAGGCATTGCTCAAGAACGGTCCATTTATTGGTGAAAATTCATTTGTTTGGGGAAGACTAAGCTGGTTACCAGACTGCTTTACTCATCACATATGTGTAACTAACCATCTTATTATAATGGAACAGATAACCATTATCCACTATATATATATATATATATATATATATATATATATTGAAAAGGAGAAGGCGAACACTGAGTGATAGCATTTATTGTGACGTTCCGATCCAGACTAGGACTCGTTGTCAAACGATAATACGTGTGAATGGATTGGGTCTGCTTGTGCCTCGCACTGTGGTTTGCGTCGCGCCTGCTTGTCCATCAATCCCGCGTTCATCATTGATTGTACAATCGTTGCGTTATGTTTATCGATTTCCACCTGTCGATTGAATGAGTTGTTCGAAAGCAGTGCTTCAAGGATCAGACGTACCTCCTTCCTCTTTGCCCTTACCACTACTTTTGCGTCATTCATTCTGACCTCGTGACCTGTCGTTGCGCAGAGGTGTGACTTCGGGTCGGCGAGTCGTAGTGCAAGTGTGTGTTCGTGTAGGCGAGTGCACAGTTGTTTGCCTGTCTCTCCCACGTACCGTTGATCGCAGTCTAGGCACGGAATCGCGTACATCACCCGTGATTGGTCGTGTGGTTTTGCATNNNNCAAGATTGACCGCAGCGTTGTAGGTTTGTGGGCAATGGTGACACCCAGACGACGAAGGATGCGATCAATGGCTTCTGATACCCCACGTATGTATGGTAATAAGAGTTTCGTTTTCTTCTCTTCATCCTTCGGTTTTCTTCTTCCTCTAAGGCATGATTGGACGAAACTTCTGGAGTATCCATTTGTGTGGAATTGATGGAACAAATTCATTCGTTCCTGATTCCGAAGTTCCTTTGTGCTGCAATGTGTGTCTGCACAGCGGAGTAAAGTGTATACACAGCTTCTAAGGTGACACATGGGGTGATTACTGTCGTAGTTCAGCACCTGGTCTGTCGTTGTGGGTTTTCTGTACACAGTGGTTTCTGTTTCCGTCCGGTTTTCTTATGACGAGGACGCCTAAGAAAGGGAGCTTCATGTCGTTTTCCTCCTCGCGGGTCAACGTTATCCCTGGCTTAACATTGTTTAGGGTATCATGGAATTGTTCGATTCTTTCTGCCGGTAGCACCACAAAGGTGTCGTCCACATATCGAACCCAGAGGCGAGGGTGGTATTCTGCAAATGCCTTGGTTTCGAATTGTTTCACCACCGCATCAGCTAGTAGGCCGGATATTGGTGTTCCTTTCACCTGTCGATATATCCTCTCGTCAAACTGTAGGTATGTTTCCATGCAGAGTTCAAGCAGCTCCATGATGTCAGTCACTG